TTTGTACATTCTATACATTTATTATTATTAATGTATTTTCCATTTTCACAATATATTTCTTCATTCTTTCCATTTCGATTTTCTTTATTTGAACATTTTTTATTGTTTAGTGTATATCCATTTGAACATGATACACATGTATTTCGTTCATAATAACATTGATCTTCATTATCTCCATTACATTGATTATTTTCTATTTTATATCCATTTGAACATTTTAAACAATAATTTCTTTCTGATTTATTACATTTATTATCAATTTCTTTACATTCTCCTTTTTCTTTATAAATCCTTCTTTACATTGATAACAATACGTTTTATATCCTGCAATACAATTATCTGGTAATAATTGACATTCTTTAGTTGAATTTAAATAATATCCTTTTTCACATTGAATACATTCTTTTGTTTTTTCTTTATAAATCAACATATTACAATTCTTATATCCAATACTATCTAATGTTATTCCTTTCATTCCAATAATCATTATTTGACTTTTCTTTGTTGTTAATGTTGTTTCTGAAAATTTTACATTAGTTAAACTAGTTAATTGTTTTGAAGAAGATATAATTACTGTTGAAATTGATTTATCATTATTTTCTACTTCTTTAATTAATGTTGTTCCTTCATTTGATGATTCAATTCTTAAACTGAATTCAATGTTTTGATATGGTTCTTTCTTTCTATAAATTTTGAATATTGCTTGATTTGATGATTCATATTTTAACCATTGATTAGGATATGTATATATTGTATGAGTAATTGTTGGACCGTTGTTATTTCTAATAATATAATTATTTGTTGATAACGATAGTTGATAAATATAATAATATAAAGATACAGTGGTAGTAACAATAAATAAATTAAAGTCATCTTCATCATCTTTTTTAAATTGATGATTACATTCTGTTGTGATATTATGAATTTCAATACTATGATAACTAAAATAACGAACCATTCCACCACATGTTTGATGGAAATAATTATTACTTGATGGACTTGGTGTTATTTTATTGATTGATCCTTCATATGATGATATTAAATATTGTATACTACTATAAACAGAACTAGAATCAGCAATTAAATTAGTAGGAATTGAATTGAAGTAAGTACGTTGAATAGGTAAATGTTAATTATAATCATAATAATCATTTCCACCAACCCACAACTCACCAACATCTCCAGTTATTCTTGTTGGACTATTTCCATTATAGAAATCAAAATAAACTTTTTCAAATGAATAAGAATTACTGATTAATTCAAGTTCAAGGTTTGTTTCAATATTCATAAATAAGAGAGAATAAATTGGGGGTGAATATCCTAGTTGTACAATAACTTTATTTGCTTTAAATGGATTACTTATTGAACCAAAATAAAATATTCCATAATAGTTACTAACTGAAATAATAACTGATGAATATTTAGTATAATCTCCTGTTAATTCATTTGAAGTTAAAGTAGAATCAATACAACTAGCATTTACATAGATTATAAAATCGTTCCCTTCCACTTTTTGACAATATTCACCATTACAAAATGAAATAAATAGAAGTAATAAACAAAACCACATTGTGTTTGTTTATTTGAGTTATTTTACACTTTTCTTTGTTTTTTGTTAGTCTTTTATTTTTAGAATATAATAAATTTATATAATTTATTTTAATTTATTTGTATGAATTAATGATGAAAAGGATTATTATTTCTTTCTTATTATCATTCAATGAAATCAAATATTTCTTAAATTTCAATTAGAAAAATTTGTTTGTTAAAATATTAACATTAAATGATTGTTTAAGAAAATAAAGTGAATATGGTTTGTTCATATTTAATTTAATTGAAACATGTTTAAATGAGAATAAGCAATGATAATTAATTTGACGATAGAAAACGTATTCTTTCATTCTCATTAACTATCATTTTATTATGATTTTATAATGATTAACATACTTATTCTATTTCATCTTATCATCTTCTCATCACTTCATATTTTTATGAAAAGGGGGTAAAGAGATGTTTAAAATAATTTAAATAAATTAAAAATAAATAATTTTAAAATGGTTTATTAATAACACAATAAATAAATAACAACAAACCAATAAACACAAAAATAAATAAAACAATAAAATTAAAAACGACAAAAAACAAATGAAATTATTGTTATTTGATTCTTCAAAACATTTGTATTTCAAATAATAATCATAATAATTGTTAACACACCATCATTCAATTAAAACAATAGTAAGAATATGTAATTAAAATGAATAATCAAAATGATATAATGACAAATATCTTTTATTATGCAAATTGAACATTTCTATTTCATAAATATTTTATATTATTTGTATTAAATACAATACAATAAATAATATAATCATATTTAATATCATTAATAATGAAATTTGTTTATTTATATGAATTTAATATGTTCTAT